GAATGGAAGGCTTGTACACTCCAATAACCTTAATATGTCACAAAGCTTCTCTGGGCTGCAGCTCCCAAGTTCAGATTTGGAGATACGATGTGCTAATTTCCTCCCTCAATGTTTCAGCACCGGCCTCTTCTTCCTTATTACTGACACTCTTACTTTAATACCTTATCACCACCCTCTAACTTTATCTATAATCTTTAAAGCATGGGCAGGAATAATACATCTTGCACCTCAAAGGTTAAGCAACAACAACTATTGCAAAATAGCACAGCAACCCCATGGGCAGAACACACCAAAAGGAAAGATGGGCAGAGGAAGTTACTCCTTGGACACCAAAGAGCTGTAGCTCATCCTTCCAGCCTTCTGCTGTGCCACACAGGCTGTGGTGTTACACAGACTCTCCTCCCACTCACAGGAGTGGGTTTGGCTCTGTGATGTTTCATACCCCCTGTTACCACACACCTTCTTGCTATTTTCATGCCTGGAACATCTCCGTTTGCAGTGTGAGGCATCCTTCCTCTCTCTACTGCTTGGCCACTTCCCTCTCAACCCTTTGGATTATTTCTGTCAAGGAGGTAATTCTGACTGTACAACTATAGCAGCATAATATTAACTATAACAACTAATTCTTCATCTGACCATTGATGGAAACAATAAAAGATGAAAACTGCTTTACACTTCCTTCTATTGCTTGTTTTCTCCAAGACAGTCCTTAAGACTGTCTCAAGAGCAGCAATATCTAATGCTATGGAATAGCTGGATACGAAGAAAAGCCACCCAGGTAAAAGAAGCGTTCTGTTGCCTCATTGGGTACTCGCTCATGGGATAACACCCACACAGGAACTCCCAGCTTAGGTCTAGTCAGGAAGGGGATTTCCCCCCACCTTCTTATGTCATCAGCAGGTTATTTCATTCTGAAATGCTTCTGCTTCTCCTTACTTCACTGAAATATCAATCCTTGCAGAGGAAATTGAAATACCGGCTGCATAAGAGAATAAGCCTTTGCTGAAACAAACCAGAACAACCAGCTTTGCTTGTAGCGGTACTGTACCTATGACAGACATTTTAAGGTGACAGCCTTTTGAAATCCCATCATCTTCACCTGCCCAAAATAAATCAGAAACTATTAGGACTTCACAGGATGCCTTTATCCCTATTTCCTGTCTGAAAAGGAAATCTTACTTGCATTGCTACACTTGGAAAAAGAAAGGTAGCATATACATCTGCAGGCAATACTGATTCACCTGTCTAGTGAGGGAATGTCCATTTGACAAACAAAACTACATCAATTTATACAAAGGATTTAACTTACTGTGTCAAATTGAGTCTGCGGTGACTGGAGAGGAGTGAGAGCACTTGAATATGCTACTGCCTTGTACAGTGGCTGTGATGGGCCCATGGACAGGTACACAAGTCAGAGAGATGATTTTTTTGTCATGGTTTAACCCAGTAGGCAGCTAATCCCCACAGAGCCACTCTGTCCCTCCACCCCAGTAGCACAGAAGAAGGAATCAGAAGGGTAAAGGTGAAAAAACTTGTGGCTTGAGATAAAGATGGTTTAGTCATTAAAAAAATAAAAACAAAAAAGGACACACCACACACAACAAAGAGAGGAAAAACAAGTGATGTAAAAGAAAACAACTGCTCACCACCACCTGACCAATGCCCAGCCAGTCCCTGAGCATCAGCAGCCCCAGCCAACCTCCACCCCCCAGGCTCATTGCTGAGTTTAATGTCACCTGGTGGGGAACATACCTTTCATCACTCGGGGTTGTCCCCTCCCAACTTCTCCAGCACCCCCTACTTGCTGGCAGGGCAGTGTGAGAAACAGCAAAGCCCCTGACGCTATGCAAAGCACTGGTCAGCAATGACTAAAGCATCCCTGTGTTATCAACACTATTTTCATCCCAAATCCACAATAGCCCCATACAAGCGCCTCTGAAGAAAATTAACTCTACCTCAACAAAAAACAGAACATTTGTACAGCGTAAGAGGAAGAGAACAAGGTGTGCCCTTAATTTCTGCTTGACATAAAAGGCCTAACATTGACATAGCTCTAAAAGCCCATAGGCTCCAGCACAGCATTTTTCACTCCTGTGGAATTTCTTGTTTTCAAGGACTTTTACAATTCTGCCTCTGCTCTGACTTCTACATTCCTGCCAATGCCGTCATTAATGCAGCAGTAAGTGCTCACTACAGCTACCTTGTGTAGCAAAGACGCTTTACTATACGCATGAGTATATATAGTATTGAGCGTCACTGTCTGGGCCTGGAACATTTACATTCAGATGAAGAAGAGACACCCACTTCTTTCTCTCCTCTGTCAGCTGTCTTCCCTATATAGAGAGGAGCAGGCTATCTATTTCATTCCTTTCTGGCAACTCCAGTTTACAGAGAGCTACAGAGAGCTTTGACCAGAGCTATGCCCTTTCCCCACCCTCTCTCACCTGCATATAGGAAGTGCTCAGATTTACTTTTTCTAAGGTACTTCTGCTCTCTGCTGACTATGTAGAGAGTTTAAGCTCCAAAATTGGACATAGAAGATGGTGTCTTTATTTGAGTAGCTAATGAGGAGAAATGAAGGCTGACATATGCAAGCAAAATGCCAATCTGAAGCCCAGCAATAATCCTAACTAAAAATACACTGATTCTTTGTAAGAGGAGGAGAACCGCGTGAGAGAGGAGCAAACAAGGGTGTGAATGCAAATCACTGCAAGTGCAGCAAAGCTCACAGTAGCTAGAAGGATATGTGCATCATTTCCTGCCGTGTGCTAAACAAAGCAAAACAAACTCGAGGATGCAAAATGAAAAAAAGACTGCCCTGCGACTTTCCACATCTGAAGCAACTGGAAGAATGTCAGGGAGATATTCTGGAATTAAGATAAACCACTGCTGGATGCGTTCATCAGATGGGCTGTAAGACCACAGCAGCCCCAGTGTGGGAGTGGTGCCTTTCAGCAGAAGGGCAGGGTACCTTGTATGAGGGTGGCAACAGCTTCTGCTGTCCCGACTAAGCGTGAGTCATTCCCCTGTAATGAGACTTTGCCAAGAGACCAAATTCCTCTGCATCAATGGGCAGCACCTGAGGCCTTGCAGATAGGCAAAAGTGTTCTGACCCAACACCCTTGTGGGGAGCTACCAGCAGGTCTTGGATTTCAAAAGATATCCATTACACTGGGGAGAGGAACAGCTCAGTGGCTGTTTGTATGAGATGGGTAAGAAGCTTGCCTGGCCTGAGTCTGTGGCAGAGGGGAGCTGCTCGGCCACTCTGCAACAGGTCACATATGCCTCAGCATTCAGCAGCTCTTCCAGCTTGGTCAACTGCATCGATTAGAGGGTCCTACAAAGAACGAGATCATGTAAAGACAACACTGGGTCCAAATGAGGAAAATCTGCTGAAGAAATTCAGCATGGGAAGAATTCTCACTATGCAGCTATCACAACCCTTGAATTTTGCCTTAAAAGGTAAACTAAGTTCTCTCTAAGAAGACCGGAGGTGGAAGTTCTCAGATCTAAGCCTGGAATTTGAGTCTGGATTAAATCCAGATGTCAGGATCACATCCACTCCCTTGGAAAATTCAGATCTCAATATAGACGATGGCTTGTGCCTGGGGAGGGGGAACTCTTTTTCTGGCTCGCCCTCAACATTGACTGTGTGGGGGAAAATACGTGCAGTTCTGAATTCAGAAGTGGGGAAAAGGGACTAAATATTGCTAATGGTAGAGATATATACAGTAATTTTTGACTCTTGCTTTTCTCCTGAAGAAAATACTGTCTTAAAAGCATACAATTCATTAAAACTCCATGAAAGGAGCTAACTGCTGATGGCATGAGGCTAGATAAAGGCTACAAACCTGTGAATCAAGTTCTGTTTCAAGGAATACTGGGCAAAACATGCTTGAGAGAAGGGGGATAAGAGGAAAAGGAAGCACTGAAGGTAACTTACACCTGAGCCCATATGGTGAACTGGTAAAATGGAAAGAGAACATCTTCACCAGCAACCCTTCACAGGCATCTGCAGAAATCAATGTGACCCTGTCACAGGGCCATTTTTTTCCCTCCGTTTCAATTTCTATATGGCACTTTCTATGGCTTCTCATCCACCTCCCACATGGCTGGAAGGTAACCTTTTTTTTCCCCTCTTGCAACTTACTTAGCAAAGACTTGGACAAATCATCAGAACGGAATGGGCTTTAGAAAACTAGTATCATCAGAGGCTCCCAGGGTAGTTGACTCTTGCCTTCCCGTACCACTGCAACACACAGGCCTTTCAGCCAGCTAAAGCTTCCTCTGCTGAATCTAACTGGCACACAGATCTAAGGTACCAGTCTCCAAAGACTCTTCCAAAACACAGTGACATCCAAGCTAAATTTGGGTGAGCCAGCTGAGTTTTCACACCAGTGCTATCCCCTCAGCTTGTATCTTCTTTACTACATGCTACTCTGCCTTTAACATATTCCTAGGCAGTCATTGCTTCTCCCTTGCCCACTGTAGCTGCCATCTCTCTCCAGACAAGGCAAGCCTGCTCGCTCTCAGGACAGGCTCTCTCTTCCCCCTTGGACTGCTAATGTGCTGTCCCTTGGCGTAGTCTGAAATCCTCCTTCTGCAGTGTGGCAAACGACATTTGCATGGCACTTCATGCTACTTTCTCCTGAGCCCTGCTGGATGATGGTAATATATTGCCACAATTAACATCCTTAAATACCATTTAATTAACCCACTGAAGCCCTCATAAATTTTAATTAATGGCAGCTTTATTAGTATTTACTTCATCTTCAGCATGTAAACTCTGGCAGTATCTCCAAAGGGAGGAAAATGGCAGGGCAGACAAGACACCCTTTTTCCCAACTTTTCCTCCACTCTTTTGGTCCCAGAGCTATCTCAGTGCACTCACAAGGACATGTTCCTCCAGCAGAATTCCAAGATGAGGGTCAAGTTAATGTCACTCCCTTGCTCTTTAGCTCTGCGCAATTCCTGTCATGTACAAGGTTAAATAAATTCACCCAAATCAAACTCTGAAGAAGCATTACTGCAGTGTCCAATTGATAGCACAGATTGTAGAGAAGTCTGACAGGAAAAGTTGAGAGTTGTGCTCCACTTGGAGATCTCCTTATTGTAGCCAAGGTTGCTGTGTCTCAGCTGCCAACCTTGAATGACGTTTGTGTAGAAAGCACATGCTCCTCAGGCTTCAGACTCCACATGCACTTCTAAATACAAAACCAGAAGTTTCTGAATTCCAGCACCAGAGCAGACTAATGTACCTCATCCCTCAGCCTTGCAATGTGGTGAAAAGCTAATGTTATCAGGATAAAGAAGGATTATCAGATTTTTGTGGGATGGAACCTGCTGTGGCAGATGTTGATGCAGATAAGCTCTGCAGCCTCTTGCAGTGCAAATAATGCTGGCAGAGTACAACAGCTTTGGTGCCTCTTGCCACAAAACACGTATTCCCTCTGTCCCTCTCCAGTTAAGTACCATGGTCAATTAATAGCAGAAGGAGAAGGAAAAAATACTATCAACATACTATAAATCAAACATATGGGACTTACGTTGTTAAAACTGAGATTGAATCAGCACTGGAGTGATCCCTTAGGTTCAAACACATTAACTCTGCTCTAAGGACACTTGTCAGGTATCTACATGGTAGAATGTCACTGTGTTTCCTCATTTTTTAAAGTAACTGATGTGATACAAAGCTTCAGGGTAGGGAGTCAAATGCTGATGTCAGGGGGAGAGGGACAGCAGTAACCTGAAACATCACGTATTTTTTAACTTCAAGTGCTAATTATTATGTAAGTATGTAAATACTTAAGGCATGTAACACTAACTGAAAGCCAGTGGTAAAACCAGCACTTTTCAGGAGCAAACTGAACCAGTAATTTGAAGCACTGCCCTGGTGTTATCAAAAGACCAAGACTCTTCCTATCCTAACTGTTCGACAGGCTCAGGGTAAATACCACAGCCTTAGTTTAATCATTTATCTACAGAAAAACTGAAACTTAGTGGAAGGTGTCCCTGCCCGTGACAGGGGGTTGGAACTAGATGACCCTTATGATACCTTCCAACCCAAACCAGTCTGTGAATCTACATGTAGTTTAATGACACCCACAGATGAAAGGCTGTTTCTTAATGGTGACTTCAGCATTATACCGCTGGAATGAGCTGAATTGTTTAAGATCTAAGCATCAAGACTTCTTAAGCAGTGCTGTCTTAAATTCCTAGTAAGCAGGAAGCAAACAGTGTTTAAAAAACCATCTAGCCCTACTAAACCCCAGATCCCACAGCCTGCCTTGTAAAGCTCTGTCTACTTTTTCAGGGCCCCATGAGGAGTACATGGGGGCAGAACTCCATCCCATTTCCTACCTCAGAGCTTAGTAACACTCTGGAGTTGACCGCGAGTCTGCCATTAGGCTCTGGTTTAAGACTGCCTTCCTCTTGAAGCTACTCAGATCACGATGTTTACGTAAGGCAAACAGCATCCTCAAAGTGAGTGATAAAGGAGGGTCAGGCAAACTTCTTGCTAGTGTCCCCACTCACTCTCCTAGTAAGCACCTTCTAGTAACTACATATTGTGACTACGTGCAAGACACGAGTCAAGTAAGAGTGAGCTTTAAAATTGCTCTCTTCAAAACTCTGTACCTGTTACAAAAACCACTCTTGCCTCAAAGTGCCCAAGCTGGCTCTCGGCTGGCTGAGGGATGTGAGGCTGAGAGGCAGTACTCTGCCAAATCCTGTCTGATGCGAAATTGTTTCGCAAGCTGAGGAAGAAAACACAGTCATTTTTCTTCTCCTTTCTTGCAGTTAGTATAGACTTACAGGAATTAGTACTCCTGCATCTCAGACAGCCAGGTTCATAAAGAGCTCCTTTTATCATAACCCACCTACAAATATTCCTTTACACAAATTAACTTCAATGTCCGCTGTAAGCCAGAGGATGCAGGATACAATTTTACTTGCTGCTGGTATTCACACAGGAGTCTTGTTTATCTTCAAAACTCAGGCAATGGCACCACGCTTCAGAAGTGCAGTGGTGAAAGTCTGAGCATCACCAACAGAGAAACTGCTAAGCTCATACCAGCTGGAGGCGAAGTTCAGGACGCCACCACCCCCAGTGAGACTAGCTGCTGCTTTCTGAGCCCCTGTGCAGGCTTTCCAAGGAGTCAGAGGTGCATGTTTAGGAGGAAAATACACGAGATGTGTTTGAGCAGCACCGGGTTTCCCAACGCAGCTGACTCAGAGCTTTGTTCTTTTCCTATGGACACACCAGGGTCCCCAAAAACTACTGGGGGTAAGGGACTCCAGTACTTCTGGGAAACAAGCGCTGCATTGCCTGAGGCAAAGGGGAAACCCAGAGCAGGAAAACTACCGCCTCTTCTTCGCATGTGGGCTATGCCCCCCCGTGGGATATCGCCTCGCACCCTGGGCCGGCTGCCCCTCTATGCACAGCAGCTACTCCGAGCCCTCCGTGCCTTCACAACACCTCTATCTCCTCAAATCTGCCTGGAAGCCACCCACAGCCCCTCCAGCTCCTCCCGGCACCCCAAGAGACGCCCAGAGCCCCTCCGTCCCCTCGCGGCACCCCAAGGGACGCCCAGAGCCCCTCCGTCCCCTCGCGGCACCCCAAGGGACGCCCAGGGCCCCTCTCTCTGCTCACGGCACCCCAAGAGACGCCCAGAGCCCCTCTCTCTGCTCACGGCACCCCAAGGGACGCCCAGAGCCCCTCCGTCCCCTCGCGGCACCCCAAGGGACGCCCAGAGCCCCTCCGGCCCCTCGCGGCACCCCAAGGGACGCCCAGAGCCCCTCCGTCCCCTCGCGGCACCCCAAGAGACGCCCAGAGCCCCTCCGTCTCCTCGCGGCACCCCAAGGGACGCCCAGAGCCCCTCTCTCTGCTCACGGCACCCCAAGGGACGCCCAGCGCCCCTCCGTCCCCTCACAACACCGCCGTCCCCCCTGCAAGCCCCCCGAGGCGCCTCCCGCACCACCCCCAACCCGCCGTCCCTCACGGTGCGTCACGCGCCTGCGCTGTGCGGCGCCGGGACTGCGGCAGTGCGCATGCGCCGCGCCGGCCGGGGCTATATAAGCGGCGGCGGAGCGGGCCGTGCCGCGGAGCGCTGCCCGGGCTCGGCGTGTCCTTACCGGTAGCGGCCAGCGGCGGCGCTGACGTCACGTCCGGTGTCCCCTCCAGCCGCGGCGATGGAGGCGGTGGTGCGGCGCTGCCCGTTCCTGGCCCGCGTCTCTCAGGCCTTCTTGCAGAAGGCCGGGCCCTCCCTGCTCCTGTACGCACAGCACTGCCCCCGCATGATGGAGGCGGCCCCCCGCGCCCTGGCCACGTCCGCCGCCCGCGGGCAGCAGGCGGAGGAGGAGACCCCCGCAGCCCGCCGGGGTGAGTATGGCCCCAGGAGGGAGGAGAACAGCGCCGGGAGCCGGGCCGCTCCTCAGGGAGGGCAGCGGGTCACTGGGCAGGTCACGGCAGCTGTAGCAGGGAGCTCCCCAGGGGACGCAGTAGTCACCTTTAAGGCAAAATAAATATAGACACTGTCGTAGAAGGAAGCTTCTGGAATGAGCAGCTTCGGGATAAGAGTTAGTTAATCCTTTAAATGACTGTGATAATTAAGCATGGACATAGTATAAACCAAAGAGTGGCCTGTCAGTATGCCCTGTGATGAGTTGTGGTTAGGGATCTGTGATCCTGGATCACCGAGCTGAGGTTTCTCATGCTCAAGCAGCTATTTATCCCACCCAATAACATTCCTTGTGGGATTCTTACTCTAGCGCTCGGAAGAAACAGAGGCTTGCAGCAGAGGAAGGACTGGTGGCTGAAAATGGCTGAATTCCTCAAAAGAAGGTCTTCCTTTGGGGAAGGAAGGAGAGAGGATTTTTCCCCCTCAAAGGGTACAGTGCTACATCTAGCATCTTAACTCAGGTGCCCACAGGTGTTGCTGGGATTTTGTGCTTGTATAAATAAAATTACTTGCTTGGTTAAGTAGTTCTGAATGGCTTGTGCCAAGTTAATTACAAAGGTAATTGGTAAAAAAAGCTGAAGTCAGTGTAATAAAATGATGATGCTAAAGTGCCTTCTCTTTTCCACCCCACCTCAGAGGCCAAAAATGCCAAAGAGGTGGCCCAGCAGAACACAGATGGAGCCCAGCCACCCACTGGCCACCCCGCTACTGGTGCTAGCCAAGGCTCTGCTACAAAATGCCCATTCCTGGCAGCTCAGATGAATCATAAGAACAGTAATGTTTTCTGCAAAGCCAGCCTAGAGCTCCAAGAGGATGTGCAGGACATGCAGATGGACAGGAAAGGTATGTATTCTGTGCACTGAAGCATTGGTTCCTTGAGAGCTTTTGGTGCCTGACTTTACTCTGGAGTGTGCCAGGTCTGACAGTCACCACTTAAATTATGCAGGTAGGATTATGGGAGACTGCAGTGAAAAGCTGTTGGAAAATGTAGGTGTTAATGTCATACCTGCAACATTGTGCAGTGTTTCCCTGGGTGGTTTTGATGTGGAAGTACCATATGCTGCATTTTGACATACTGGCTCTAAATGCGTGAATCTGTTACTCTTGCACCCAAAGTTTGTAGCTTTGAAATTTACAATCTTGGGTTACAGCCTAATAGAAACAGAAGCAGTCACCCAAAGCAGATACTTAAAACTGAAGAGAACTTTACCAGGGTGCTGGTACAGACAAAGGTAGTGTATGCAGAGATAGAAGAAACTGGGTCAAGGTACTAGGCAAGCACCAGCACAAATCCAAGCTGGAAAGCAAGTAAATGGGTTGGGGTGTTTTGTTTATGGAACTAAAGGGTGTTGGCTGGCTTGCTGTCCTTCGAAGGAAGGAACTTCTCACCTGTATCTGTAAAACCTTGCCATCTGTCTCAGGAAGCTTATTTTACTTTTCTATTTGTTTTCTGTTACATAGTTTAAAAAAATCTGTGCTAACTGAATACTAGGAACAAAAAGGAAGCAGCTGATTAGAACTGTGCCTTTGGTTAGTTGTATACCAACTCTTGCAGATAAATGCTGTAGCTGTATAAAGTGGTTTTCTGAGTCATGATGAACCAAGCATGTTGGTTCAGTGCAAGGAAATCGCATCTTATGTTGTCATCATTGATCAGCAAAGCTTTCCTTTTACCTTGTACAATGCAAAATTGTAAGCAAATAAAATAGTTGATCCAAACAGGGGCATGTGGATTCAGGCACATGCTTCCTAAAGAAATTAAGAGTTAGTTAAAATGTTTGCTGAACTCCCTTCACTTTGCTTCAGGCTCATTAAGCTCACCAGAACTTATGTCTGTAGGTACAGAATTTGCCAAAATACCAACTGCTTCCACAGTGAGGAACACTGAGACTGAAGGAGAAGAGCAGAGTGGCTTGCTCAAGAAGTTTAAGGATATTGTCCTGAAGCAAAGACCAGAAAGTGTGTCTCATCTGCTTCAGGATAACTTGCCAAAATGTAAGATTGTCTAGCAAAACCCCCACAGACCTGGTCTCCTGTGATTATTTCCTGTGTGCTTAAGTCTCTGTCTTATTTCAGCCATATCCACCTTCCAGTATGATCAGTTCTTTGAGAAAAAGATAGATGAAAAGAAGAAGGATCACACCTACCGAGTGTTCAAAACAGTGAACCGAAAGGCACAGATCTTTCCCATGGCAGATGACTACACCGATTCTCTCATCACCAAGAAAGAGGTGTCTGTCTGGTGCAGCAATGATTACCTGGGGATGAGTCGTCACCCTCGTGTGTGTGGAGCAGTTATGTGAGTAGTGCCACGCTCTAAGAGGCAGTTTCAAGCTCTGTTGGCCTGCAGAATTGATTTCTGTACTGTGCTACATAAACTACTTCTGATATTTTTCTTGGTATAAAATTCATCTTGCCCTCTTCTCTTGAGCTGGGGTATGTAACAGTAACTAGCTCCAAGGCTGCAGTGTACCTGTCAGTCACTAACCCTGCTCCTTGGATTTTCCTTAGAAGCTCCTAAATGTTACCAGATAAATTGGGTGGTATATTGCAGCTGTGTATCAATCAGTGGTAACTGACTGCTTAGCTTATTGGATTATTGAGTTGTGCAGGTTGCTCAAAGAAGCCCAGCAGCAGCTTTCTGCAATCAGTTCCTTTTTAGAGCAATAACTTGTTACTAGAATGTTTTCAGCAACCGTCCTCGATTCATTTTCATGTCGCACAGTAACACTAATGCCTTTCTTTGGACCCTCTGCAGGGATACACTGAAACAACATGGTGCTGGAGCAGGAGGCACAAGAAATATTTCAGGAACAAGTAAATTTCATGTTGATTTGGAAAAAGAACTAGCTGATCTTCATGGAAAAGATGCAGCGCTGTTGTTCTCATCATGCTTTGTAGCCAATGACTCCACTCTCTTCACTCTAGCTAAAATGCTGCCAGGTGAGATCTCAAACTGCACCCATTATTTACCACAAAACACAACCTTAGCCTAAGCACTTGGGAGTTTATTTTGGAAAAGGCTGCTCAAAGTGAGGAGTTGTCCTACTTGATGAGCCAAGTATAGGCGTTTTAATGCTATATTCAAGTTGTTCAACTTTGGCAAAGTGTAGCAGCAGCCTATTGAGAGTGAGAGCTAGGAACTGCAGGAGGAATTAGACAAAAAGCACAGTCTTCTGCTCTTACATTTAAATTTCACCTGAAAGTGAGGCACCAGGAATTTGGTGTCCTCACACCTGTGGGTGTGAGCCTCTCTCTAACTTCAGAAGTTAGAGTTAGGTAAAAATATTAAGAACTTGGAAAAACCCTTCTGTAGTTAGTTAAGATCAAGTTTGTGTTAGTTGAAATACCTAAAATAAGCCTTAAATAATATTGCTGCTTCATCACCTTTAACTTGCTCTCTTTACCAGGAGCATTACTTTCTAGAACATGCTACTGTTGCTGCCTGAACACTCCCCATACATAAAGCAATGCTGGTAATCAGATAATGCTTTCTGTAGTTAAAGTGTAACTGGGCTGTTTCCTCAGGCTGTGAGATCTATTCTGATGCTGGAAACCATGCCTCCATGATCCAGGGGATCCGAAACAGCAGAGTGCCAAAACACATATTTCGGCATAATGATGTCAACCATCTTCGAGAGCTACTGAAGAAATCTGATCCATCTACCCCCAAAATTGTTGCATTTGAAACTGTTCACTCAATGGATGGTAAGTTGACGTGAAACCTTTCTTTCCCCTTCACTGCAGTTAGTACTCAAATCATCTGTATTCTGTGTCTAAAAGTATATGGTGCTTTAAGGGTTTTCATAAAGCAGTTCTCTGAAATGCCTTGTGTTTGGGAGGACTTCTGGTATTTATCCAAGCTGAGTACAGGGAATGCTAAACTGCATTCACTGCTTTGGCTCCTAGGTGCAGTCTGTCCTCTGGAAGAGCTGTGTGATGTGGCCCATGAGCATGGGGCAATCACTTTTGTGGATGAAGTGCATGCTGTGGGGCTGTATGGATCTCGAGGTGGTGGTATAGGAGACAGGGATGGAATCATGCACAAGATGGACATCATCTCTGGAACGCTCGGTATGGCACTTTTACAGAAGCTAAGGCAGCAAAGCTTCTGGGCAGCTGAATTAAGTGGATTAACTCAAAATCAGCCTGTTCAAATGAACTTGCTAAGGGCTGTTGGGGGCTAGAATCTTTCAAGCCCAAAGGATTTAAATGTGCCCCACAGTTTGAAAAGCTTGTGTTAAGCTACTTACACTGCCTTACAGATCAGTTGAGGTAGCATTGTCTCTTTTTACTTAAATTAAGCTAGCAAAAAATCCTCTGGTGACGTATTATACAACTCGATAATAAATTCAGGTGAGAATGCTAGTAGGGTATTATATATTTAGTAGTTCTTTTATGTGAAATGGAGTGCTCCTAATCTAGAAACCTGAGATGGGGAGTTAGTAAAGAGATTTGGCAGGAACTGAAGTGACAGCCATTATGTGAGTAGGATGCAGGCTTAGGGGTAAGCTTACTCCTGCAAATAGGGAAGTTGTTGAAACAACTTTCAAAACACAAAATTTCCTAGGAAACTTCAGGGCTTTAAAACCTACAGTCTTAGGTTACAGCCCAAAAGAAGTGGAAGCACTGACCAGATAGCCTGGTTGTATCTGTGGCTCAGTTTTGGTATCTAACCATTTGGAAGAGGGGGCTGGTGTTGACTGCACAATCACAATAACAACCTTGAGTGCTCCTTAGGAGCATAGGCTATTTCTAGTGTTCTTGGAGCAGATTATTTTAAATCTGAGAGACTTAGTGTTGATCACTTAGGATGACTATTGAAGTCTCTGCTTGATGATTTGGCTTATAAGGTCTTCCCCAAAATCAAAACTTGGATATGAGAGAGCCTTGAACTCTCCTTGGTGTGTAATAACTACATTACTGTGTAGTAACTAATCCCTGTGATCAGGATTGGCTTAAAACCAAAGCTGTAACATGTGCTAAGTAAATACAAGATTAGGAGAGGGGGCTAGAATTGTGGCCTATCATGACTACATTAAGTACATAGTCAACATAACTCTTTAAGTGAAAGGCTATAATACTTGAAGCTATTCTAATGGGTGGAAGGAATAATCTTGGTTACCCTCTTTTTTATCCCCTCAGGCAAAGCATTTGGCTGTGTAGGAGGCTACATCTCCAGTACAAGTTCTCTGATAGACACTGTGCGTTCATATGCTGCTGGCTTTATCTTCACGACGTCCCTGCCACCCATGCTCTTATCTGGTGCCCTAGAATCTGTCCGAACTCTAAAGAGTGCAGAAGGACAAGTTCTGAGGCGCCAGCACCAACGCAATGTGAAGCTTATGAGACAGATGCTGATGGATGCAGGGCTTCCAGTGGTGCACTGCCCTAGCCACATCATTCCAGTGAGGGTGAGTACTGTGGATACTGTTGGCACAGGACTCTGCTGCTTGTTTTCCTGCCCATGATCAAATTTTCAGATACTATCCTCACAAAGTTCAAACCTGTCCTAGTATTCAGCAGTGATGTGCTAGGAGTCTCTCTTAAGTTGACCCTCTGCCTGCTATAAATGTTGTGAAACAGAGTGATAAAGCGTATGAAACCCACCATCTGACAGTATACAGAAAGCAAAGAAACAGGTAACAAGCTAGTAAAAAGAAGACTTGGGTATAAACAGCAGCCTACCTAGGCTGCAGTGATGTGCTTATGCCCAGAGGGCTCCACACACGGCACAAGCTTTTAGCCCTTCTTTCTGACATACATGCTGTTTATAGTGGCACAGGGGAGATTGGTCCTGTTTGATTCTTGTGGCTAGCTAACTTGAGCTGATAGTTGTGCCACCTTGCACATTTTTGGTTGATCTTCTAATCAAAAATCTCAAACTTCAGGTTGCAGATGCTGCTAAAAATACAGAGATCTGTGACAAGCTGATGAGCCAGCACAGCATCTATGTCCAAGCAATCAACTACCCGACAGTTCCCCGTGGAGAAGAGCTACTGCGTATTGCCCCTACGCCTCACCACACCCCTCAGATGATGAGTTATTTTCTTGGTGAGTGGATTCATGCATTACTGCAATGAAAATACTGGGCTGTCTATGCAGTCTTAAAGATGAGACTAGGAAGCACTTAAGCTTGAGGTGTCACTAGCTGCACAATGTCTTCCTACTGCTGTGGCATACACGTGCGTACTTCTGCACTTAGCCTTCTTTGAGCATGATGAGTGAAGGGCAGCACATTGAAACCTGGAATGTGTAAGGCCTATACCCAGTTGGTTCTGTCACAGCTGCTTCTGCCAGGGCTCTGCACATGCATTGTCCAAACCAACCTTTATTTGTTATGTGGGGTCCAAAGAAAACTGCTGTTCTTTGCCCAACTGTTAACCTGTCTTAAACATGGATCTGTCCAGGGAGAGTAGCTACTTGATCCGGTCAGAAGTGGTATGAGAACAGCTTGAGACTTAGTTGCAGACCAGTCACCTCATTCAAGCAGTAAATTATGTCACACTGAGTTCCTGTTATTCCTTCTCACTTGCTGGGAAAATAAGTACACTGACACCTCACTTTTGCTGCTTTGCTATAACAGTGAACTGTCTTAAGCCTTGATCTTAATGAACATTTCTGTTCTTAACAGAAAAGTTGCTGGCTACATGGAAGGATGTTGGGCTGGAGCTGAAGCCACATTCGTCAGCTGAATGCAACTTCTGTAGAAGACCCCTACATTTTGAAGTGATGAGTGAACGGGAAAGATCCTACTTCAGTGGCATGAGCAAACTATTATCTGTCAGTGCATGAAAGTAGTGGTGTTAGTTGTACTTTTGTCTAGTTCTAGTACCCAGTCAGTAGCATATTTTTTATTTGCTTAAGAAGTATTTTAATCATAGTTGAAGCACTAAGCTCTGAAAATAAATTTCTAGAGCCATTATGCCCAGTTGTGGTTTTGTTTCCTTCTTCTGTAAGGGGGTTAAGTGGGTGGAAGGGCATCTGATGAAATAAAGTGGTCTTCAGCTTAATGCCCTTCAGCTGAACTACTGCCTTTTCAATTGACAGTATGCCAGAAGAACAGCAGTAATGTTCCTGGTATACTACAAGGCATGGGTTTACTTATTAAGAAAGAAAAAATAGGTATTTATGGCTCCTCATGAGCTTTTACCCAAAAGCTTTTGAAAACATGCACGTGTAGTATTACATGCACATTAAAACTTCAGCAAGGGTATGCTGCTTAAGAAATGCTGTATAAGTTCACATACATATTTAAGAGATGGGAACTGGTTCCACTAGATGCATTCCCCCTTTGGTGTTCAGTATGGTGCTCACTATTAGGAGGAAAAAAGGGCTAACGTAATTTAATAAGTGGTATTTTGTGGCTCCTTGACAGTTTGAAAACTGAAGGGTGGTACAGTGGCTGGGACAGGAAGGCAGGGCTACCACTACAGGTGGTAGATGGACAATTCCTCTGACTCCCTGTCTCTTAATTCTGCATGTTCTGCTCTCCAGTGCCCTCAGAGCTAAACTTCAGTGCAAAAACTGAATATCAGTAAGCAATCTAGTAATTCAGGTCTCTGACAGAAGTCATTGTAAGAGAATATCAGTACTGCTGATAGTCTGAAACCTTAGGTCTCTTGCCTCATTACTGTGCTACTTAATGCTTTCAAGAATAGCAAGGGCTTGCTTTGAGCAAGGGGAGGCAATTTTGTGGGCGTACCTGTAGACTCATAGATCAGCATTGGCATGAAGTCTAGAGCAAAGCACTAAACTGCTTCCTTCATGTACAAGGATGTCCAGTAACTTCTGGAAGTCCCTTAGCAGCTACTTTTGCTTTCTGGATGTAACAAGCCAGCCTCCTGGTACTGCCGGTTGCTGTCACACCCATGGGCATGCTGTGAAGCTCCCGTTAGGGATCCATTATAGTATCACAAATAGCCACATATTACAGAGATAGAAACCCAAGTTAAAGCAAAATCAACTGGAAGTCACCAGTCATTTAAGCACAGACTGAAGCACGCTGCTACTCCAAGAATACTTCTTAGAAAGGTATTTGACTTTGCAAGCAGTCAAACTACTCTTTAAAAGCCCTGTGCCAGCCAGGCATGTGGTTGCTGCCCAGCACATGCAGGGGCTCTGTAGGAGGGAGGAAGCAACCCACCATCACTCTTAATGTCTAATAACAGTCAGTAGGATTAATATGTTAATTTAGCTCTACTGCTAACATGGCAGTTTATGAACTGGTGTACCCAAACCCACCACCAGGTTATCATCATGTGAGTAGCTGCATTGCTGAGGAGGTGGATTAGTTTTTGCATGCTGGAACATTATTCTGGTCTTACTGAGAGGCAAGTTCAGTGCTACTCAAGGAAAAGCACAATGCCACACCTTGACTTCCTTGCCTTGCCACAGGCAGTTTGTGGCCTAAGATTAAATTAAGATGCATCTCCATTACAGAGCTTTTCTCATTACACATTATATTATTATTTCTCATTATTTAGATAACATTACTACATGAATTTGTGATACCAAGTAAAAAGCCATGGATCCTACAACAATCTCTCGTAGAACAGTGCCCCTAACTCCGTAATGCACCTTCAATGCCACTTCAAACTGCGGGCATAAGCAGTCAAGGGTGGGGGGACAGCACAGGATATGTTGCCTCCAACATATAGCCATAATCTGACAGCACAAGGTTACTTGCATTTCTAGTTTCTTCCCCGAAAGCAGAATTGGCCCAGTGCATTTTACATACCAGTTAATAAGCCAAAGTTTTCCTATTAGTCTTTACAGCAGCTACTCTAAATTCCATACTGCAGAGAAGAAACAAGACACAAAAGGGGTACCAGCTACCAGAAGCAAACATGATTCCAGATTAGCCTCAGGAGAGGGCCAAATCCCAAGATTCAAAGCTAGCAGCCTTTGAAATGACAGGAGCACAGCTAACCTCAGCACAAGACAATCAGTACCTCTGCACCCATTAATGGCAAATGCGTCAAGTTACCTTAAGCTCCAGCGCTGGCAAGCAAGGGTGTGAAAGCAGAGCCAGTGGGCAGCAAGAGACCAGGAGTCCATCGCTTAACTGCAAAAGAAAGACAAATCCAATGAAAGGATAATTTTTCCCCCATGAAAAGGACAAAGGATGAAAACCAAACACGTATTGTCTCCCAGCGAACAAAACCTGAACGGCGGGTTGCATAACCACCATAGTTATGTAAGCTTTAGCTTGGTTCCTGGAAAAATCATACAGGATGTAATCAGTAAAAGATGTTTAAAGTCTGAGACAAACGGCCCGTGGCAGTGGCAGAGTAAGCAAGAACGCAGCTGTAAAGCCACTGCTAATATTTGTCTGGGGAAAAATCATTCATCTAGTTGAACCCTGCCTAGCCCTAAACACATACTCCTCTGTCTTTCTCAACCTGTTGATGCCAGGGAGACACCCTGGGCATAGAGGAGCAGAGAAGAGATCTCAAGTGCAGACAGGTCATGGGAGGAAGCCTCAGGAGAGTGCTCTTCCATCACGGCCAGGACTGGGTGCCAGGCAAGGCAGGCTGTGGTGCCTTCTGTCTCTTGCTCCCTCCTCCACCCGTCTGTGGCACAGCCTCACCAGGCAGAGATTCCTGTCTTGCAGAGCTACTAATGTTCATGAAGCTTTTGCAGGCCTTGGTTTTCTGCCCAGGCAACAGCTTCTACCGCCAGCAGGACTTTGCTGCAGACAGATGAGGATGCTGTTGCACACTCCCTCTGCCCCATGCTGCATGAGGTGTTCAGCCGCCTCATCCAGCCCCAGCTATCCCCTGCCTACACACACTGCTGCAGGGAAACAAATCCTCTGGAAACCATTCTGAGCACCTCCTCTTGCTGCTGTTGCTTTCAGCCATTAAGTCCTTACTGTTTCCTAGCCAGGAATAGCAGCAATAGCAATAATCACAGTAATAGGAGCATTATTGACACCACCAGATTAATGGTTCTAGCATCCCTGGTGCCTTGTACCCGTTTACATCTCACGCTGCCCTGCTTGGTCTCTGGGCACAGAGAGGACCATACACCACATCCCTGCCCACCACACCACAGCTCCCTGATACCTGCAGATCAGGGGAGATGCTCCAGCCCGGTAATGGGCATTTTACAGCACGTGCTGGTGGCTCACAGCATTAATAAGCACAGGGTGTGTTCAGCCCCCAAAAGACTTTTTCTCTCCTGCTCCCATGCTTTACTGAAAACCCCACACTGAAGCTTTGCTCCCTGTGGGACTCACTGCCCCACATAGGCACCAGATACACACACACAGCAGGTCTCACTCTGAACACAAGCAGCACAACCAAATAACCACATCATAGGTCTAAATCTGCTTTTCTTTTATTCAAATGGGCCACTTAGCTACACACCAGTCTAGGATTATACCTTGAACTGACACTTTTAGATGATGTTTAGTATTAGCTAAGCTTTAAATCATTGGGAACAGCTGCCCATATCGCTGCCTGTAGGGATAGGCAGAAACAAGGTGTTAATGCAGGGAAACATCCAAGGGAGCAGAGATTTTAAGCCGTGCCCTCTTCCATGGCTTTCACAGGGAGCAGAAGGTGGGAAGCAAGCCCCATGGTTTGGGGTTTTTCCCTGACCCCCATCAGAGCCTGGATGAGCTGATACTCCCCAGGGAGGTGCCAGGCTTTAAGGGATGAGGAAAATCCACCATTCCTGAGAGCATCCCTTCTTCCTTCTCCAGGAGGAGGAGGACTCTGGCCTGAATCTCCATCCCAGCAAGGGGTTGCAAAGGGATGCTGCAGCCACAGCACAGGAGCCATCCCCTTGCCTGCCTGGTTTGGCCACCTCAGCACACAAAAGAGCCAGCTCCTTGGCAGCCATGGGGTAAGGCGTGCAGGGGGGAGAGACAGGGAGCAATGCCCACAACTGCTGCTCCCTGGGGAACAGCAGCAGGGAGCTCCTTGCAAAGAGGGTTGTAAGCAGGTCCTCCTGCCCTGCTGCCAGTGACTGGGATGGGGAAATGCCTGTGGGGACTCACTGCAAACCTGCTGTAGCTCGGGCAGAGAGCACCTGGGCTGCTGCTCATGGTGGCAGAAGGCACTGAAGCCTACTGCAAGGGTAGCCCCTGGCCCAGAGCTGCTAGCCCCACATAGCCAGGCTTCATTATTTAGGACAATCTGTGCCGCAGGCTGACCCCAAACCCTCATCAGGTCACGCTCCCACCCACAGCCCAAGCTTGTACAGTCCCGGGGGAAGCTGGTCCTGGATAAACTTACCCCTTGAGAAAACAACCTCTCCTTCCTTACTGCTGCACCCTCCTCCCTGGAGCCACCATCCCTCAGGGGGGGCTTCGGGCAGGATACGGAGCTTTTGAGAGTGCGAGGGCTCATCTCCCTTTCCCGCAGGCACCTGTGGCTCCATAGCCCAGATGCCAGGTGGCTCTTCCAATTCACACGGTCGGCTTACAACCAGGTGTAACTCGTTTGCAGCTCCTCTGCTTCAGCTCCAAGGGGAGCAGAAGCCAAAGGATTTATCTCTGAGATTCTGCACTTTTCAAACCGGGGATCCCATGGGGAAAAATCCTGGCTCCATCCTTTTCCCTGTGGCTTGTTTGCCATAAAGCCCATGAACCCTCCTTTGCAAGTCCTAAAGACCTGAGTGCTTGGGCTGGCTCTGGGGGTGCTCAGCTCCATCCCCCGGCAGCTGCCTCCTCATTCTGAAGCTGGCTGTGCCCTGCTGCTCCCTCCGGCTGGGCAAACACTGCTATGGGGTGGCCTTGTCCCATGGCACACGTGCTCCATGGGGTCGCCAGTGGCTGCAACCAAACGCAGGCTTCCTAGGCATCACCTCAAACCCCAGGGCTTTTGGTCCATAGCAGGGGAGGCTTTTTAAACTCACACCTTAAAGACAGGGGGCAATGCTCGTGTGACCCCTCGTGTGCCTGCTGGGTGGTGGGACACAGGGGCAGGAGGCAGCAGCCAGGTTTGTGAGCGCCTTAACTGCGCCTGGGAATTGCTCAGTGTTGGCTTTGTAACCCCCCTTCCAAGGGGACCCCAGCACGCACACTGCTCCGTGCTCTGCCTGCGCGTTCAGCGCCCTCCTGCCCCACTCTGTTCTGATCCACTGGTGTTCAGCCTAAATTAACAGAGGGTGAGCTGTGAATCCAAATCTGACCAGGCTCACGAAAGGAACAGCTGGACAGCGTGTCCCTGCTAGGCTGTGCCGCAGCGGGGGCAGCAGTCTGGGACAGCACGGGATAGGACGGTACGGGAGGGGACGGGATGGGATGGGATGGAACCAGATGGGAGTGGGTGGGACGGGCACCCAGCCGGAGGTCCCTCGGGCTGCTCTGCCCAGCTCCCCCGCAGCCGTGTGCAGTAGTCCTGGGGCACGAGGGGGGTTCAGCTGGGAACAGCAGCACGGGCAGGGGATGGGGGCGGTGGGGTGGGGACATGGGGACACCCCTCACTTCCTGCCGGTCTTTGGGCACGTTTAAACGCTACGGAGCACAGGAGGGGAGCAGGCTCGGAAGGGGCCGGTGAATGAGCTTGGTCGGACGGCTCCGGCCGCGTCAGCCCAGGGGGAGCTCGTCCGCGCTGAGGCATCTGCCCTCCTCATCCTCCTCTGCGCCCAAAGGAGACTCATTTGCGGGTGGTTCTTTATCTGCATTAAACCTTTGTTGGTGGTGGTTTACTTTGGGGTTTTGCTGGCTCTGGGTTTTGTTTTTAACGTATTACAGCTGGCTTCCCAAGCTCTCCAGCTCCTCATCCTGGGCACGGAGAGTAAAGACAAGACGTGGTGCAGCCCCGAGCCGGGGCAAACCCCACTGGTCTCATGGCAAGAGCCCATTCAAGGCCTGGGCTGTGCCAGGGCAGGACACAGGGAGAATTTCTGCTGGGAAATCTGCCCATAATAAATAACAAGAATAAAGGTTATATCCTAATTGCAGCGGAGCTCCTCTGAGCAGAGCCGGGAAGCAGCAGTTTTGGTGGCTCCATCACAGGCTGGGACATGCTACCCTGCTTCTCCATCAGGACCTGCTGCTGGGAAATTCAGACCCCGCAGCCCAGCTGGAGTTATAGGATAGTGCCCACTGCCTTCCCAGCTCTTCTCTTGGCTCAGCATCCTCCTCCTTTCCCTCCTACCTCCACCAGGCAGGAATTCGCCCCACCCAAGAGACCAACAAGCACTGCAGCCTAGCAAAATCATTACCATCCATTAAACAAAGGGAAGCTGGGCTGAGCAGGGGGGCTGAGCAGGGATGCCATCTCCCACAGCTGGCTCTAGCTCTGGCCATCGCTGGACGGGTCCAGCATTAAACCTCTGCCAGACATTAAAGGGTTGTGTCCCGGCTCCCTGGATTAAAGTGTAAATGTCCCTGGGGTGCCGGCGAGGGCTGGATGCGGCCACAGCAGGAAGGCCACGATGGCTGCTGGCTCCCAGCTAGCTGCGTCCGAGCGGTTTGCTCTGCAGCTCCAGCGGCTGCCCCGTGCCGGGCCTGGGGGCCGCAGGGGCCTCCAAAGAACATCCGACTGCTTTAAAAATACTTTATTCGTTAGAAAATAGAGCGGTCAGTACAGAGTGCTCTGCGCCCAGCTCCACCCCACCGCCGAGCCCAAGGCAACGGCAGCGCCGCAGCAGGAGAGCGGGGGGCAGGTCCCACCGCCCCCGGCTCCGTGTGCCCGGGGAGGCGGGCGGCTCCCGAGCCCTCGCCGGTACCCAGCAGCAAGGGGCTCCCCTCCTCCAGCCCCTCAGCAAAGCCCAGCTCGCAGCCCCAGGCTTGGGGCTGTCCTCAGGGGGGCACGCAGGGGTGGTCACGCTTCCCCACACGAGGATTTGGGGTAACCCACGTGATTTTTAACATGGGGCTGCCTCAGAGCAGAGCCAGCAGCAAACCCAGTGACAGCGGGAGCTGGGGCACATGGAGGGGGGGACCAGGGCTTGGGGTACCCCTGGCTCCCATCCTGAGCAGGGATGGGGCTGAGTCAGGGCTGTAACGGCTCCCACTGAGGGGAAAAGCCTTACTGGGGGGAGTCAAAAAGGGGATGCAAACATCACCCAAAGGCAGGGACCTTTCTCCTGTGTCAGGCAGAGCTCCAGCCTTGGGGAAGACCCTCCACCTCTTGCTGGCTGGGTCCCCCCAGGACGAACTCCTGCCAGCAAAGCCCACCCCATGGGGAGGGGTCCTGCCCGCACCCTGAGGGGGTGCAGGATCACTCCAGACCCGGACAGGGGGGCTGTGCACACTGAGAGCAGGACAGGGCAGCAAAACCTTGGGGCTGGGGGAGCAGGGAAAGAAGCATTTTCTCTTTTCAAACAGGAATCCCCAGCGCCAGCCCCTTCCCTTTGCATAGAGCAGCCTGCAGGCAAGCATGTCCTTCAATCACCCAGGGAACACCGAGAGCAGCAGCTGTGACCCCGGGGGGGACAGGAGCAAGGCTGGGGGACACGGCCCTGCTGCTCCCATCCTCCACTGGCAGCCCTGGGGCTTGATAAGGACATGGGGAAAAGAAACACCAACACCCCTGAACCCTCCCCATCACTCTGCCCCAGGTGCAAGAAGCCATCCTGATGTTGAGAAAAGGAATGAAACAGGAAGAAAGAAAGGGAAGAAAAACCTAGGCTGAGACGGAGGGAAAGACCCCCCGGTCAGCGGAGGGGAAGCTGGGCAGCGCTGCGGGGATGCTGTCCGTTCACCACCCGCTCCTGCGGGATCTAACTGTCCTCGCCGTTCTCGCCCGGCCCCTTGATCAGCCGCTTCTGTCCCCGCTTCCCCACGGGCCCCTTGGGCTTGGCGAAGGCCTGCTTGAAGGCGTGCTGCTTGGGGTGCACCTCCTCGTAGAGGAACTCCGCCGTCAGCTCGGCTCCATCGTCGATCTCAATCTGTGCCCAGGAGTGGGGGTTAGCAGCTCCCTGGGGCCTTGACACCCACTTGTGGGGCACTCGAAGCCCCCCTGAGCCTGGCAGTGGGGCTGGACCAAGGCTGCAGCAGGGTCCCTTGCAGATGCCCAGCACAGGGCTCTGCTCCATCACCTCTGGGTGGGCTCACACTTACCTTCTTGGCTATCTCCAGGCAAAACTCTTGCTCCACAGTGTCCAGCAACCGGCTCTTGCAGCTGGAGTAGAGCATGCGCTCCTTGATGCTGCATTTGTACCCAGGCATGGAGTAGATAAAGACTGCAAAAGAGAGCAGGGCTCGTACCCCTGTCTGAGATTGTGGCTAGGGAGCACCAGGCAGCTGCATCCCACCCCGATCATGGCTTTCCCGGCCCTGAGGGTCCCAGTTTACTCAGTGACAGAAGGTGAGCCATCCCACCCATCAACCCTCCCCAGTGCCATGACCACAGCACCCAGAGCGCCCTGCAGCATGCATGGCAGCACCAGAGGGTTTGCCAGCACCCACCACAGGAGGATGGCAACTGGTAACCAACTCAAGGCCCCCTGCCACACCACCCCTATCCCCATCCCTGCTTGCTCCCCGTGAGCGATGGTCCAGGGAGAGCGGGGCCCAGCGCAGGTTCTAACCAGCCATTGCCAGTGCCGAGGCACTCACCGACAGACTCCAGGTAGTCTCCCTCGTGCGAGTGCTTGTACAGGAAGAAATGGTAGCGAGCTGAGTCCTGGGGGATCCTCTTGGGCAGGTCAGCGATCTCCGTGGGGCTTGTGTGCACCAGGTCAATGGTCTCCCGCTCCAGATCCAGCTTCTGGTGGACAGAGGGGATGGGGGAGCGGACGGGAGTGAGTGGTGGCAGCATGAGGCAGGGCAGTGGAGAAGCTGTGTGAGGGACCTACCAGCTGGATGTAGTTGATCTTCTTCTGCTTGAGCGCCTGGATGGCTTGCTGAGCATCCGACTGCAAGGGGAAGGCCAGGCCCTGCAGGGTCTGGTGCTTGCTCTCCACACTGATCTCAGTCTTCACCTGGGGATGGAGACCACCCGAGCGTCAGGGAGAGAGCAGCAAGGGGTGCACAAGGGACAGAGAGGAAAACCGGCCAGTCCTGCAGCAAAAGGCTTCTCATCCGAGGAGCTGCCTGACACCCAGCGCGAGGGCATTAAACAACCAGAAGTCAGCCAAGCTCAGGGTGCTGATGTTTGTCACCGCACCGCTGCTCTGGGAGATCACCCATCCCCAGCCATGCACCCCGCACCCCATCACTTCACTGCAGCAAAAACCAGCTCAAAACCAACATTTCCCAGTGAGCCCCTGGTAGGGATGCTGTGTCCAACACTGGTATGTGTCCACCTCTGACCACAACCTGCAGATGATAGGGAAAGCCCTGAAATCACAGTGCTCGGCTGCATGGGTCCCTGGCAGTGAGGAGGGCAAGCCCCTCCCCGGCAGGTTTAACTGCAGCAGACAGTCATTGCCTCCTATGCTGGAGCTGGGGATTGTAGATCCACACCTTGGAAAGATCCCAGCCACCGTCCTCCCCGCAACCCCTGCCAGGCAGAGGCTGCTGCTCCTACCCCAAGCAAACACCCTAGTCCAGGAGGCCAAACCCCACTTCAAAGAGGGAAGGGAATGAGACTGTGGAGACATCGCATCGCTCCGGGTGCCTCCACCCAGCTCCAGCGGGGTCCCTGCCCGGGACTGCAGTGTGCCGTGGGCCGGCAGTGGGGAAGGGGGGCAGGACGCGGCAGGCGCGGCATTACCTCCTCGGGGCCGGGGTACTCTACCAGCGATGGGCAGCAGCAGCAGCCCCCCACCATCTGCCACAGAATACAGGGAGACGGCGTCACCCCGACAGCGGAGGACCCCAGCCCACCTCAAGACCCCCCCAGGTAAAGAGTCCAGCAGCGCTAACCCAGGTGCTCTGCAGTGAGCACGGGTCCCTTTCCATTGGGATCACTTTGGGGGATTTTGGATAAAGACAGTCCAGCCTCTTCTATTACACTTTTTCTTCTTTTCCCTCCCCCTGATAAAGGAAGAAAAATCAAGGCATGCCAAGAGAAACACAGAAATTTCAGCTCACAACTCAGAACCAGCTGGGCAGTGCCAAAGCGGATTTTGACACAAGGCTGCCCTTCGTTACAGCAGCCCTTTGGGTACCCACACCCCAGGGAGATGACGGACCAGGTGCCCGGAGCAGAACATGCAGAAGAACACCTCCAGGAGAAGGACAAAAAGGGCATCAAGCGGGCAGAGCAGCCTACCATCTCGGTGCTGGAGTCCTGGGAACAGGAATCCTGCGAGCGTGGGGAGAGCAGACACACTGTCAACAGCACCCCGCGCAGGGATGGAGCGGGTCTCGTGTGGAACGAGAAGGGGTGGGGGACACACGGGCATGCCAGGGGGATGGAGGTGTACCCTGGCTCTGCTGGAGGCCAGGGAAGGATTTGTCCTGGCAGAGCAGGCAGTGACAGCAGCAAAAAATGACAGGGCAGCCATCAGCACTGGGCAGGAGCAGGACAGAGCCCTGGGCCCCGGCAGCCCCACATGCAGCACCTCCACTGACATTCCCATGCCTGTGCCCCATCTCCTCCCAACCAGGGTGGCCCTAAGCCAGGGTCTGGAGGAGGTCCCGCAGTCGCAGCAATAGATTTTGGGCCATTTTCTGCAGAACAACATACACTAAAGCTCTGGAGGGCGGAAAATGCCCAAGCCTCCATCCGTTCCAAGCGTCGCGGAGGATGAACAGGGTGTGATTGCGCAGCCCTTGGGAAACAATTGCTCAATGGTTATGCAGTGCCAGGAGGTCCGGCTGACCCCCAGGCTCTGCTCTCCTACCATGACCCCCAGCTGCCGTGGCAGCAGCAAGGGCCCGAGGGGAAGCACGTAGGGGTTCAGAGGATACAGACAAGTTCTCCTGGTCCCACCCTGTGGAGAGGTGCAGTGCAAGGACATCACTACTGCCAACACCTCCAGATCCTCATGTTTCTCCTCTAAAACAGAAAAGGGGCTGGGAGGGTTGTAGCGGATCTGGAAAGACCTCAAGCTGTAACACGAATCACGCAGAAGTCCGAGAATCCCAAGATGTGGAAACTTGTCCTAGCAACACCAGCTCCCCCCCATACTGCTGCAGTACCTACTCCTTCCCTTTCCAAAACCATGAAGAACTGGCTCACGGAAACACAGGGCACAGCCCAGGAAGCACGCATGGGATGGCTGAGCCCATGCCTCATCCCAGCCCTGGCCTTGTTGGCAGCAGGAGGGATATTTATCTCCTTTTCTTTAGGTTAACTTTTGTCCTGCTCTCTCCTCATTGCTGGCATGGTGCTGACCTTGGCTCTAATGACCATTTCTATCTCATAATGAAACCTTCATGGGGGGGTTCTAGCAAAGCCTCTGCTCTACCCACCCACCGAGTCGTATGAATTACACCCCCTTACATGCTGCAGTGGCACGGCCACCTCTTAATTCTCCTGCCTCATCCCCCAGCTCCAAAGCCACCTTCCTCTCCTCTGCTGGCTCCCCTGCATGATTCTGAGCCTGTGATGCTTCTAGAAAGACTTCCCACTCATGGTGTTAAGGGAGATCAATGCCAAATTCAAAGCCACTTCTTAGCCCACAGTCAGCCAACTTCCAGCTCAGTAAAGCTGGCAATGCATTTTCCAGCTATTTAAAATACATGCATGCATACATACATACACACACACATACTTACAGCAAATGGCAGGGTTTTGTGAGCTCCCACCCAGCGAGCAAGCAGGAGGGTAGCTCACAACATTGCCTCTGCCCATGCAGTCCTCAAACCAAAGGAGAAGCTTGGCTCATGCAGCCTAAAACCTGCTTTACCAAAGGCTGAGCACCCTCCCAGGTGAGGTGCAAACCCGAGTCCTTCCTATATCAGTGTAAAAAGTAGCTCTGCCAGCGCTGAAGCTGCTGCCATGCAGCCGTCGCCTCCCTGCTCCTGCTCTATTACTGCTCTTCCCCTCACACCTCTTCTCCCCGCTCAGCTGGTGGTTGAGGAGGATCCCGAGGGAGCTTCTGCCAGCCTAGAAACTCAGCCACCTTCATGGGGAAGGATGCAGACCTGGTCAGCATCTCAGAGGGTTGAGCATCAACAGCATTAGAGGAGAGCAGGTCCGCACCACCACCAGCACCTCCAGGTGAGGGGCACAGCAAAGCTCGTGTGAGCTGGTAGCTTTTAAAGACACAATGTCCCTTATGTCACTTTCCAAATCCTAACAGACTGGTTGAACCCAGGGGGACGTGAGGGGTCCTGAACTGCCAGCGGGGGCATGGGCAGATATGTGGAAGTGCTGTGGTCAGGGCTTGCATGGGGGCTGCCAGCCCTCGCTGCTGGCTCCCACGCCCTGGGTCTGCTCCTCCAAATGAAACTGCAACGTGCTCATGAGTGCAAGGGCCTCACAGCCTATGCACAATGTAGAAGCACCCTGTAAGCCTGCAGGCAGTGAGCAGGCTGGGGGCACTGCTGCAGTGAGCAGGGTGCTACGGGCTGAGAGCTCCTCCCATACAGCTGCCTTGCATGGCTCCAGGAACTCACTTGAAGCTGCACTCACCCAAAGCCATGAGTTTCCCCTGGGGAGGTGAGCATGGCACTGATCTCCCATCACCTCCTGCTCTGTGCTGCCCCTGCACCAACACAAAGACCCTTTAGTGCAGCCACTGCTCAGCTGCTTCCCACCTTTGGATCCACTGGCAGAAAAACATCCATTTTTCTCTCTGGTGTTGACTGATCTCTGTGGCCCAAGGAAACCAAATGGTAGCAGCACCTTTACCCGGCTGCTACATCTCATCTCACAAAGGCAAGAGTGGGAGGCAGAGCATGGCAGATCAACCAAGAAACAAGCACCATGACCACTTACCTGGGCCGTATGACCCTGCAAGACACAGCCAACTACTTAACCCTGCAGCAGTGCCCAGCCAAGGCAATGGCACAGATGCCCAAAGATGCCAAACAAGCTGCAGAGCCACCATCAGCACCTGTCTCTTCTCCAGGCACAGGCACCAGACTGGATCCTCCAGCACAAATCAATCCCCTCCTGGCTGGCAGCTGGGATATCTATGCTAAGACCCACTCAGTGAAGACCACTCCTTGGTAGTATCTCCCAAACACCCCTCAAGTGACCACCGATGAGCCCCACAGCCCCAGCACAGGCGGAAGAGTGAGGGATGCTCCTGTAGAGAGGAAGCCTTTCCACAGCACCTAAGTGAAATCCTCCCACCCCAACAAATACTGCTTCTGGGTGGTTTTCCCAACCAGTGAGCAGGATGCCTTTCCCTGCCTCATGTTTCACAGCACCACAGATGTTGGCACAAGTGCCATGAGATGCCACTGGGGAGACAATGCTGTTACAGCCTTATTTGCCGCCAACCCTACCCCATGCCACTTCCACATCATTTTCCAGTGCATAAGCCCCCATATTTAGCTAAGAGCTGTATTGCTTGTGACAGCATCCCTCATTTTTATAGCCACAGAGGAAGAGTATGGGAAAGGATGCCGTGCAGCCCAAAGATAAGTCTGAATTCTTCCTGCCTCCTCCATGACTTCAAACTCAGCTCTGGCTTTTGCCCCAGTACCTAGAGGTTAGAAACCGCTGCCTGCTTTCAGCCTCAAACCATCTTCTGAGTGCCACTTACGGTGAGCAAGACAGAGCCCTGAGCTCAAGTCCTAGCAAGTGTAAAAAAAAAGCCAGTCTCTAAATTCCTCTTTACGCCACCAATTTGGCTGTGAGGATGCTCGGTCCACTCAGCGAGGGCAGGAATGGGTTAAACGGCAGAGGTGCAAGAGAGCGCAGTACAAATGAGCCACTCTGGGGTGCTCAGATGCTTGCTCCCTGCATCCCACATCCCTGTGTGCTCTGAGGGTCTCAGGCTCCTTCTCCCTGGGCCGGCAGACACCCACCTCATTGATGCGGATCTGCTGGAGCTCCTGCTCGGCTGCGGTCAGCGGGGCTGGGGCAGAGCAGGACGACACATGCTTCTGGTAACCGCTCAGGGACACGTCCTCCTGCAGGCAGAGGGACAGGGACGGGGGAGTGTCAGGGGTGGTCATTGCTGCCGGGCTGGATGCGTGCCCAGCCTTGAGGCTGCATCTGAGCAGCCCAGTGCCTCCTGGGCTCTCTCCTTACCAGGACGATCAACCCGAGGATGCCTTCATGCAAACCCCACGCTTTACATTTAATTTAAACAGTGCCCACGACCACCCATGCCCATGCAGACCACCCTGCCCCTTCCCAGACACCCATGGCTGTGTCAGAAGAGAAGGAGAAGGCTCCCGCCAAGGCAGCCGAATAAAGCTCTCACTGCTGAAGTGACACCGCCACCCCCTGGTGCTTCTCTTCCCACTCAGCATAAAGCTCAGGATCTCCTAGAAGCCTTCCTCCCACCTCTTCCATGGTCTCCATCACGGACCACAGCCGTGCAGGCAGGACAAAGCAGTAACAGCCACCCAGGAGACTAAAACAGGGTGGGGGACAAACCTTGGAGCTGTTCCCCTGCCAAAATAACGGCATCCACGTTCCACCCGGCTTTGGCACCAAGCCTGGAGTAGGCTGCCAAAGCTCAGCGCTGAGCCCAAAAGGCTGCCAGGAACCACCACCATACCTTCACCGTTCCAAACATCTCATCCTTTATGTGCCCCCCGCCAAACTCCTTCTTCACCGTCGCTCTGGTGGCAGCGTACAGCATCTTCAGCCGGACCTGCGCAGGGAGGGAGGTGCGCAGCGTGGTCAGAGGAGCATGACGGGACCACAGAGCAACACCTCCCCACAAGGCAGAGCCGTCCCACCACCGGCTCTGTAAAGCTCAGCCCCTCCTGGAACAACCACCCGGTTTCTAGCTCAGGCTGACTTCTACTGCAGCACCTCCAGGCCAGGAGCAGCCAGGAAAACCCACCAGCGCCGTTTGCAGCACTGCTGGTGCACAGCGCAGCGCCGCCAAGCACTGCCCAGAATCCACCCGTTCATTCTGTGCTTTGCTTCCCATCCCGGAGCTCCAGCACATCATTTCTTGCCTGCGCTCGGGCAAATACCACCAGAGTCACCTGAAAGTGACTTTTGCCTTTTGGCACTTCTTTTACATTGTTCTGTAAAACTCAGGGAAGAATTCTGGCTCCTTGGTGCACCGTCCTTCTGCAAATAAGACTCTCCACAGTTTGTTGAGAGATGCATATTAAAATATGTATTATTATATACACATGTATATGTACATGTACACGCAGGTGTGTATCACACATGAAACTATATTATCATAATTGTATATGTGTGCATATAATAATATCTGTATGTTAGATATATCTCAACAAATTGCAGAGTCTTTTCTATATATGTGCGTTATAATATAGAAAATAATACATAACAACATATAGTTGTTATGTCTATATCAAATATATTTTTATATATATGACAAATGTATATATTAACTTGACAATATAGATCATATAAAATACATACAATATATAGGTATGTGTGAATGTGTATATATAAATACATACACATACATATATGACAAGCACACATTAATACAGCAATAAATATTGATCCCACTGAAAGCCCATTATGGAGATGTGCTCAAGAGGACTGTGTTTTCTAAGCCAGTGCTGGCATCCTCTAAACCAGCCCCCATCCAACCAGCCCTTTGGTGCCTGCTCTCCAACACCATCTCCAGCCCCACAAGGCACCCAGCAGGGGTCAATGCTGGCCCAGCCACGCACAGCTCCAAGGGAACCAGCCTGCCTGGCCCTTTTTAAGGCTGATTTTGGAGCCGAGCCCAGAGCCAAGCCAGCAGCCACTGTGTGTCAGCCCTCACGTGGAGCAGGGCCAGGCTGGACACGAGGCCAGGCAACTCACTGCCAGCACCAGCTCTTCCCTCTGCTGCTTCTGGCCAGAGCCATGGTGGGACGTCTCCATCCCAGCCCTGTGGTCCACTCTGCTTCCCCCTCCACATCCCAGTCCCTCCACCTCCTCACACAGCTCTGCAAAGGGAACAGAGACACGGTCCCAGTGTATCTTACTGTGTCTTAAAGACTTCGCCCATCCCAAAGCAGTTTCCACTTCTTAACCTGGCGCGGTGATGGAGAGTGTGAACAACCTTCCTAAGCCCCAGTGCGAAGTCAGCCTGGCCAGCATCTCCTCCACCCTCCACCTCCCAGGGCACACCGTGTCCCCAAGCTGCGGTGTCACGGTGCGGTGCGGTGCGGTGCAGTGCTCACCGGGGAGCTGTCGGGGGACCAGGAGATGAAAAGCCACTCGTAGCCCTGGGCATTCTGGCTGTCCAGGCGGTACAGCACGTAGCACGGCTGCTGCTCGTCCAGCAAGGGCAGCACGAAGGCGTCGTAGTCAGCATCCCAGCGCCGGGACAGCTCTCTGTGGGCCCCCAGCACAAGCTGTTCTGGAGAGATGGAAAAGGTGGCGTTAGGTGGAAGCAAGGCTCACCTTGCAGGACCATGCGGTGCCTCGTCTAAGAGCTCACTGCAGCTCCAGCACAGACGCCAGCGCTGTCCTGCCGAAAACCAAATGATGATCTCGAGCCATGTGCAGGACTGTACATCCCCAGGGATGACCCCAGGAGATGCCACTGGGGCTGGGGCTGCTGTGGAGGGGCTGGTTTTCTGCCAGTATCCCACTGCCTCCTGCCAACCATCTCCTCCCCTCCCATGCTCCTCATCACTGAGGTCTCCTCTCTGGAGACCATCCATAGCCTCCTTCTGCCCTGCTCCCTCCAGCCATGTAGTCCCCAGCCATCCCTCCTTGCTCATGGGAGAAGGCAAGATCTCCTCCATCTCACCTGGACAAGCTCTGGGGGCACTAGAATACCTCATCAGGGACATGAGGAAACACCTAGATTTGGGGTGTTAAGGAAAATAAAGGTCCCATAGCAAAGGCCAGGACAATGAGCCAAAGCTGCTCTCACTGAATTCCCCGTAACAGAGGGGTGAAAATCAGAGCTGACACCCAAAGCCCTTGTTTGTGAGGACCAGGACTGTCCCAGAGACCCCAGTCTGTGGAGGGACCATGCTGCCAGGAGAGCCCCAGCTTCTGCAAGTGACCTACATACTTCACACACGTGGTAGCAGCTCAGGTATCTGGAGGGGCATTTTTCCAGCTGCTGCGCAAGCACTGGTGGGGATCGGAGCCCCATGAGCCAGGCAATGCTCAGCTGGGATTTAAACCCTGGTGCAGGCACCCTACGAACACGAACCCCCCCTTGCGAGGGTCAAACCAAGCTTTGGGGTGGCTGGATGGAAAATGATGGCGCTGGAGATGATCAGTGCTGGCTGCTGGGAAACAACCTGTATTTTTATTCCATTTTTAGATGTAGGAATGTCTCTGGGGGGAGATGTTTGGACTCAGAACAAGATGGAGAAAAGCCTGGAGGTGCCAAAGCAAAACGAATCGGTTGGGGCCTTGGACAGTTGGCACTTGAGGGGATGCTCAGCCTGGCATGCACCCTGCCTGGACCTCTGCCCCGCTGCCCATTGGGAGCCAGAGAACCCCTGGCCAGGGACTCCCTCCCCTAACCCATCCAGCTCAGCAGCTCCGAATCCCACGGCAGGAAAGCTTTGAAGGAAAATAGCTGAAGAATAAAGAGTTTGGGATGAATTGCTCTTTCCATCCAAGCAGGGCATTCCCCTGCCCACAGCAGCGCAGCCCTTCCCTGCCCAATGCCATGGAAACTGCCATCACACACTGAACCCATAATTATTTGCACACAAAAGCACAGGCTACCAGTAGAGTAAGGACAAGGACAGCAGAAAAAAGGTGCTGAAAACACTTTACCTTCAGCAAAATTACCTGTTTTGAGAAAGAGAAGTATAAATCCCTCAATGTACCCCTAAACTAAAGCCTTGTAATCAGATCTGTGCATCGCAAAGACCTGGAATCCTAAAAAGACCACAAGGAATTTCATCTGGCCAAATTCATGGGCAGTTGACGGGTGTCTCCATCTGCCAAACATCCCAACACCTCACCCAAAAGGCAATCGTGCCAAGTCACTCCGGGCTATTCCCAGGCTGCTTCCCCCTGGGCTGGAGGAGCCACTTACTCCCCTTGCCTGCCACTGGGCTCTCTGCAGTTCTGCTCATCCCATTTAGGGCCAGATTTTCCTCCTTGGGAAGCACTGGGAAAGGGAAACACAGAGCAGCCGCCCTTGGGCAAAGCATCACTGTCAGCACGGGCTGTTTCAGGCTCCACTTTTGCAGGGCACTGCAACTGGACAAAGTGCAGCTGGGAGCACGTTTCTGGCCCTCGAGGTACCCCCAGCACTCACTGCAGGCAGGCTGCCTGGCTCTGAAGCGCCCCTACACCTAAAACCATGCTGGACCACAAGCTGCTTTCACACCAGAAAACCATTGCTGACCCTTGGTGCACATCCTCATCCCCACCACTCCTCCTTCCAACCTCAGCTTCTTCCAGCAGGTCCCTAAAGACAATATCAAAGAGTTCCCAAAGGGCTGCTCAGCCACAGCTGCTGTCCTGGGGCCCCAGACACAGAGCATCTGCCACAAGGCTCCTTGCACCATCTTCCTGTCCTTCCATCCACTGACACCTGCTCCACAATGCCCCAAGACAAACAGGGCACAAGGTCCCCTGAAAGCCATCGAGCAGAGCTAGAGGTCCCTCTTCCACATCCCCTGCACAGGCAGGGCAGCTGGCTCATCCTCCCCACACACCCGGGGACACATCCCACCCAGGGTCTGCTTGCTCATGTCTGCCCATCCGGCCCCGACATCTGCCTGGCCACTTACTACTGCTCAAAGGTCCTTCTCTGGTGGGTAGCAGCAGGCTGATGGCCCCAGTGCTACAGAAAGGTGGTGGCCAGAGGCCAAGCACCTCGTTCCAAGTGATGCGGGCAGGCAGACGGGAGCTCTGTGTGCCAGGCTGGTGGGACCACCGCCGCAGTGTCCCCAGCAGGCCAAGCCCTTCAGCACAGAGGTGCTCCCTCCTCTCCTCCTTCCACCTGCTGCCCACAGGGGCCTCGGGCTCCGCTGCATTTCAGAAGCTTCTGCAGACACCCAAGCTCCTCCAGCAGCGCCCACGGCTGGTGCAGGCCAGAGGAAAGGAGCCGGCAGGGTGGGAGAGGCACACTGTGAAGCACAAAGCACTGCCAAGTGACGTTGGTCCATGCAGCACGACGATGCCACATTGGACAGATAAAGACATCCCATTCAGCCTGAGTGGAGATGGCGGGACGTGGTTTCAACTGAAAGTAAAAGGTCTCCCTTGCTGGCATCACTGGCCACAACCCAAAGTCAGTGGCACAAGCTCTAGGATCCTAAGGCCAGGCTCAGGGGCATCTGTGACTTCTCTTAACACAAACCCAATTCCTACTTCTTAAAAGAAAGGGAGCCAAGAAAGCAAAAACGTTGTTGAAGATGCTCAGAGAAACAACGTAGACATCACATCCTAACACATGGAGACCTCGCCGGGGCAAACCCAACACCACTGAACTCTGCACTGGCCCTGCTGATGCGCCCCATACATTTCAAGCCATGCTACTCTTTGAAATGGGCCTTTGTAGCCCCTCCAAGGCCAGCACGGGTTCCTAATGACTATGTCCACCTCGACGTCCTGATGGCTGACCCGAGGGAGGTGATGACAGCAGCTTGGCAGGACATTAACGTCCCTGCTGCCTTGAGAAACAAGTCATTCATATGCAATTGTATGAGGCTGAGGTGATGGAAAACCTACACCACGGAGGCTCCCCGCTGGGATGTTCAATCAGTGCTTTGCTCCACTTGTTTGTTTGATAGATGTAGAGGCCACCCAAAGGCATGGGACAAACATGGGCAGACTGATGCCCACAAACTCGGCTAGGGGCAGTCCCATGCATGAGAGCAGAGGCTAGGACAGGATGGGTTTCCGAGTGTAGCATCCCCTGTGGGATGCAATCCGGGTCCCATGCTGAGCCCCACACCAAGAAGCACCCCCTCACTCATCCCTGCCCTGAGCATCCCCTTGCCTGGCAAGGGACACCATGTCCAAGGAGGAAGATGCCGCCTATCACCCCTGAGCAAGGTCCCATGCCACCCACCACTCTTGCACAGCTCCCGCAACACAAGCAGCAATACATGCAGCAGCAAAAGTCCCCCAGAGCCCACCCAGCACCGATCCCAGATGCCAGCAAAGCTGCTGCTCCCCAGCCTGGAGCCGCCCCAGGGCTCCAATAGCTGCTGCTCACCAGCACACCCACATTTTGGGCTTGTATTTCAGGTCTGGGCTGCCACGTGCCAGGGAGCCCCAGCAGCGTTTTCCTTGGGGTTTCCAAAGAACCAAGCTGGCAGCACAGCGCCAAAGAGGAAAGGAGGAGAGACAGAGGTGAAACAGAACTGACACGGTGTAAATCAGAGCGCTTAAACCGCACTTACCGTCCTCAATGATGACCTTGATGAGCCGCACTGAACCGTTTCGGGCTTTGGCAAAAAAGTCCCTTAATTCCGTGGTGGCTGAAAGAACCAGAAACATGGTGATGAGATGTGGCAGTGGAAGCAGGCACTGGCTGCTTGGCACTGGCCGGGGGGGGAGCACCTTGGAGGAGAGAGACTTAAAAATAGCTAAAAAAATCTGTCTTGCCCCCAAAAAAGAGGTAATAAAAATAATAACAGAAAACCCAAACAGCTGGGGGCAAAGTGCTGCCTCTCCCCGAGGCGTCAGAGTTAAACAGCAGCTGGGAGCACATGTGACCCAGAGAACTTGATACTTGGCCTGCGTGAACATAATCACCCAAATTTAGACGATGGCTTGGCCGGCGCAGGCACGGAGAGCTCAAGTGACAAGTTTGCTCTCTTCACGAAGCGGTAAGGCTTGGACACGGAGGGTGGCTGGAAGATGTCCTGACAGGTTGCGACATCCTGGGCTTGTGACACGTGTCAGGGATGCTGCTCCTGAGGTGGCTGGGACGAGCGTGACTCCAGGCTGGAGGCACTGGTTTGAAACTGAGCCTCTACAGAAGGGAAAGGCAATGGTCCCAGGGTTCTGCTCCAGAGCTGGAAGCGCTTTGGTTGCAGAAGGTTTTTGGGGAGCCACCTTCCTCCTCACCCCCCCTCCCCGTGCACCAGGCACCAGCAACCAGCCTTTGCCATCCGACCAGGGATAACGGCGAGCAGTGGATGTTGAAGGGGCAGCCCATACCAGTGCTGGAGCCTTAATCTGCCCATCCTGAACACATCACTGGTGCAGAGCTCCCGTCCCACCTGGACATGCTACCTGGGAAGGAAATGTCCAAGAGATGCAACTTGGAGGGGCACAGACCCCCCAGCGAGGAGCATCTCCCAGGCTGGCTCCCCCCGAAAGCCCCTTTACATGCTTAAGTTCTTTCCTGATGTGGCTGCACAGTCAAGGGGTCCTGTGAGTTCGAAGCCACAGGCAGCTCTCTGCTTGTTAGAAACACTAAAGAAACCAGCGCTGCAAAGATTAGAGACCTGGGCAGAAGCCCCTTAGTCCACACTGGGATCTGCACTTGGAGTTGCCACCAGCAGCTCCCCGCTCCCAGCACTTTGCTGTGCTGCCTGTCCATTACTGACCACCGAGCTAGAGCTGCCCACAGCAGGAGGGAGCCCTGCACTGGTCCCTCGGAGCCTGACAGCACCCATGGTCAAGGCACTTTGCAAAGAAAGCCACCCCTACATCAGCTGAAAGGCGTTGGACAAGCCATCTCCTGCCACCAAGGGCTGTACCCGTTCTGCTTCAGCCCCACCGGCACGGGTACCACTCTTTGGCGAAGCCCCCCAGCATCACCTTCGGGGGAGCCTCGATGTTACCCATGCCCTGCCCAAGGGACACAGGGGCGGCTCTCCTCCCCTGCAGACGGCCCCCCAGCCCCCAGGGAGAAGGAGTGGGCACAGATTTGTCCCCACGCACAAACACTGATGATGATGCAGGCAGAGAGATGGGACAGAGGGATGCCCTGGGGAGCCCCCCAGGGAACTTCTGCCTGTCCCCCCAGTGACACATCTAAGACACATCTGCCCCACCACCAGCTCAAAGCCTGCCCTGAGCAGAGAGATGTCCAATGGCTTCCCCTCCCATAGAGAGAAGAGGCACAATGAGAAAGAGCTGCAGCCGATACCCTGCCAACAGCAGTGCTCCCATACAAGCCCAGAGATGCCACCCCAGGGGGAACGGGCACAAAGACACTCCAGTGAAGGCACATCAGTTGCTAATGGCATTTTAGGGGACACACAGAAGTTATTGCTGGCATAACCCCACCATGAGCAAACCATCCTTCTCCCTCCATCAGCATCGAGGCACATAGCTCTCCCTGTTCCCAGAGCAGACCTTCATCCTCTCCCAGTGCCGGCTGGGAGCTCACCCTGCTCCTGCTGTTGCCACCCAAAGATGCTCTGATATTTTTAGCCCCTTTCCCCATTGAGAGTGTCTGTTTCCTCCTGGCAGCATCTGTGGTTACTGCAAACAACACGAGGCGGAAGAGGAGGGAAAAAAAAGAGACATTTATACACCCAGAAAGCCTCATGCAGGAGACAAAAGCTCCTAATAAGCACCAAGCTTCACTGACTGCTATTACACTACCAAAATAGGAGAGAATAACATCAGTCATGGATGTTTCTACAGCACAAGCTTCGGAGGAGAAAGATGAATGTCCTGCAGTGCTAGCTGGCTGCAGATCCCTCCGGCCTGAGCCCATCCTTCCCAGAACACAAGGGGTCAGGAAAATCAGGAGTCTGTGCAAATACAACCCCCCCATGCCACCTGGAAATGCTAGGAATGCCAAGAGGTGCTGGGCTGACAGCCGGGATGACTGACAGCTGAGTGACTGACAAGTGACAGCCGAGCACTGGGACATGTGTAGGTACAAAGGGGCTTAAGGGGATGGGGAAAAGCACAGATGCTGCTGGAGAAGCTGAGTGCAGGATGGGAAATACTGCAAGGATACTGCCAAGGAGGGAGATGCTTTCCAGAGGACGCAGCAGCAAAGGTTTCAACAAAACCTCAGAGCAGGCTTCCAAGCTTTAATTCTGCTGAAATAAAGAAAAAATAATAACAAAAGAAAGCGTTCTGCTGAAATTAAAAACCAAAGTAATAAAAAACGGCAATTTTCATTTAAATATAAAGATCACTGGGGTGTTTTTGATGTCCCCTTCTGTCTCCTGTGATACAGAGCCAAGAGCCAGTGAGCCAGCAAGGAGGGAGAGGAATAAGCCAGAGAGGGCTTTCAGCACGAGCTCAGCAACTGCTTCATTGGGCATGATTACGACTTAACTGGCACAGCAGACGTGATGAGCTGGCTCGCATGCCATATTAACACAGAATTAGATGGCCAGCTCTGGAAGACATGCAGGGAGAAGACCTTACCCTGAGATGGAGGCAGAGATACCAGTGGTATCTTGCTGCCAGGAAGTCTCCAGGACCCAACTCCAGGGCTGAAAAAGCCATGTGTGGGGAAACCATACAAAGCAGGGAAAGGGAGGAGTGATGGGGCAAAGGACTGGGCGGGAACCCACACGTCCAACTCACCCTCTAGACATGGGGTCCTGGAAAATCCTGGAACAAGGCCAGAAACAAACCCAACTTGGGCTATAGCCAGCAGGGATCTACTATGGGCAAGTTGCATGAGATCAACCCAACTTCCTCCAGAAGACCCACAGACCTGTGGGCTTCAGGAGCCCCAGCTCAGCTTTTAAACACGTCTCCATGTGTCAGAAGCCAGTTTGGGAAACACGCTGCTGGTGAAGCTCTATGGCAGGGGCACAGAACCGCACGGATCATGGAGAGAAGGCTGAGGTTCTGAATGACTTCTTTGCCTCAGTCCTCACTGGCAAATGCTCTGACCACACCACCCAACACCTGGAAGGCAGATGCAGGGACTGTGAGAATGAAGACCTTGGGCCCACTGTACAAGAGGATCTGGTTCGAGACCATCTTAAGAACCTGAACACACACAAGCCCATGGGACCTGATGAAATCCATCTGCGGGTCCTGAAGGAGCTGGCAAATGAAGTTGTGAAGCCACTGGCCACTGTATTTGAGAAATCATGGCAGTCAGGAGAAGTTCCCATGACTGGAAAAAGGGAAATATAACCCCCATTTTCAAGAAGGGGAAAATGGATGACCCAGGGAATTACAGAGCAGTCAGTCTCACCTCTGTGCCTGGCAACATCTTGGAGCAGATTCTCCTGGAAGGCATGCTAAGGCACATGAAAGTCAACAAGGTGCTTGGTGACAGCCAGCAGGGCTTCACTGAGGGGAAATCCTGCCTGACCTATTTGGTGGCCGCCTGTGATGGGGCTATGGAACTGATGGACAGGGGTAGAGCAGTTGATATCATCTACCTGGACTTGTGCAAAGCGTTCGACACCGTCCCACATGACATCCTTGTCTCTGAATTGGAGAGACATCAACCTGATGGATGGACCACGCGGTGGATAAAGAACTGGCTGGATGGCCGCACACAAAGAGTTGTGGTCAATGGTTCAATGTCTGGCTGGAGACCAGTAACGAGTGGTGTCCCTCAGGGATCGGTGTTGGGACCGGTCTCGTTCAACATCTTCATCGCTGACATGGACAGTGGGATTGAGCGCGCCCTCAGCAAGTTTGCCAATGACACCGAGCTGTGTGGTTCGGTTGATACGCTGGAGGGAAGGAATGCCATCCAGAGGGACCTCGACATGCTTGTGAGCTGGGCTGATGCCAACCTCATGAAGTTTAACCATGCCAAGTGCAAGGTCCTGCACCTGGGTGGGAGCAATCCCAGGCACAGCTACAGGTTGGGCAGAGAAGAGATTCAGAGCAGCCCAAGGAGAAGGACTTGGGGGTGTTGGCTGATGAGAAAATGAACATGAGCCAGCTCCAGTGTGCACTCGCAGCCCAGAAAGCAACCGTGTCCTGGGCCGCATCAAAAGGAGCGTGACCAGCAGGTCGAAGGAGGTGATCCTGCCCCTCTGCTCTGCTCTCGTGAGACCTCACCTGGAGCATTGTGTGCAGTTCTGGTGTCCTCAACATAAAAAGGACATGGAACTGTTGGAACAAGTCCAGAGGAGGCCACGAGGATGATCGGGGACTGGAGCACCTCCTGTATGAAGACAGGCTGAGGAAGTTGGAGCTGTTCAGCTTGGAGAAGAGAAGGCTGCGTGGAGACCTCAGAGCAGCCTTCCAGTATCTGAAGGGGGCCTATAGGGATTCTGGGGAGGGACTCTTCATTAGGGACTGTAGTGACAGGACAAGGGGTAACGGGTTCAAACTGAAACAGAGGAAGTTTAGATTGGATCTAAGGAGGAAATTCTTTCCTGTGAGGGTGGTGAGGCACTGGAATTGGTTGCCCAGGGAGGTTGTGAATGCTCCATCCCTGGCAGTGTTCAAGGCCAGGTTGGACAGAGCCTTGGGTGAGATGGTTTAGTGTGAGGTGTCCCTGCCCATGGCAGGGGGGTTGGAACTGGATGATCTTAAGGTCCTTTCCAAGCCTGACTGTTCTATGATTCTGTGATCTCTC